TTATGTTATATGATATTAAATAAAAATCCATGTATCTATTATATTATTCATCTGAGTGTTTCAAATCTTTTTTAAACTCGATTGATCTGCAATAAACCTCAAAGTTTCTTCCTCTAGATATAGATTCGGCATAGAGCCTTTTTCTAGACTGTATATTTCTATAATTAGTACAGTTGTCTGAGCGGCAATATTGGTGACTTTTAGATCGAAGAACGTTATTTTTTCGAACACTGAATTACTCTTCAATCATCTTTAGGATACAAACCGCCCCATCGACTCACGATACAACGTAACATCAAACGGCTGCATGTAGTACATTTCAAATCAATGAAGAATAATTTATCAAAAATTACATATATTGCTATTACTGCCGAGTTTTGGAGTGATAAAAAACAAAACTCCTATTTAGGTTTAACTGCACATTATGTTGATGATCAATTTAGTCAACACAACAGTTCTTCGATTTTTTTTTGAAAGCGTCATTATTCATCTATTATTGGTCGTGTAATAGAAAAACAATTAACTGAACTTCAAATATTTAATAAAGTTACAACAATAACGTGCGATGGAGCACCAAACATAGTTGGTTTATTTGATTATTTTAGTCGAACTGGTATTAATCGCATCAATGTATGGCTCATAAAATTCATTTAATAATTTGTAATGGATTAGGCATTTGGTTAACAAAAGTAACTGTTATTCAAAAAAGTGATACAAATATGATTGATATTGATGAACATCTAAGCCAAACATTTCGAACAATTAAAATCAATGAAGATATTGAAGATGAATAAGAAGAAGGCGATGATGATGATGAAGAATAAGAGGTAATTGTAATTAGTTGAAATATCCAACGACTAATGATCCCATTCTATTCGTACCTTCACTGTATTCTCACTATAGTCCATCTGATTCAAGTCTAAAAATTTTTCTCATTGAAGTTGAATCAGAAAAACTTCAATGAATATAATAATATATTTTGAAGGTTCCTTAATTTTTTTTTGTTTAACTCTAAAAGACTTTAATTTATTTAGAAAAAAAGGAAAAAAAAACAAAACTCTTTCTGACTATAATATCTAAATCTAGTTACCATTGAATACGTATCTAATAAAATTTAACTGGTTGGGTCCAAACTTGAAAAATTTTAATCAGTCAAATCCGGATCCAAATATTTTTGGACTCGGTGGACCCGAATTCTGATTAGATACATTAGTATTGCTGTTCAATTAAGGTTAAGGCTTCTCCAGTATGATAAAAAAAAGTAGAAATTATATCGTTCATAAATTAGAACAAAGTGAGAGCAAGCAAAAGAAAATATTTTTCAATTCTATTCGGGATAAAGTAAATCAGAGAAGAAATCTGTGATAGAAATCTAAATTTAATTAGTCTCCACTGATTTTGTAAGTTTATATCAGCGGGCTATTTAGACATATTGGTCGTCATTTAAATCCTTCTTTATAATATATATCCGTTTTGTAGAATATTGAAGAATGCAATCAAGGTGATAATGAATTAGAATCAGCAACAACAGATAGTTCAACAAGTGATCAACAAAGTGATGAAGACGAATCTGAAGATGATGAAGATGAAGAAAGTGATCTTGAAGATAACTTCCAATAGGGTGTAAACACCGATGATGATAATAATATATTACCAATTGAAATTGATCAAAGAGTTGGTGATTTCTTATTTTTATGTAGAGGACTTATTGATACAATCAATGGATTGGCAGTATTGTCTTTTTTATTTAGTTTCATTCTTATTTTGATCCGAGAGGTTTGTCTACCTTAAAAGCATCAGAAATAGCATCAATTGAACATGAGCTAAAACAAATAATAACTGACAATAATATACAAAAAGTAAATACTTCTAATGAAACATCATCATCAAGTACAACATTGAGGTGTGGGTGTCGCTGTGCATGAAAAGACTGAAGCCCACACCTACACCTACGCCTACACACCCACAACCCACACCTACACCTACATGCCTATTTGCTTAGTGACCTTGCTGAACAACAGAACTACTTCGATCGAATTTCTGCGCTTTGTCGTCGTTATAACGGAAAGAAAAATCGTTAAGTTTTGTCGGCCATCTTCACTTACCCTCAATTACCTCAGCACGTTTTTAATAATCCAAAAAAACCTTATCAACCGTCACCTTTGAAATTTACTGCCGTTCGTAATTCTATTCCTCCTTCTCCTCCATTGTATTTACAAGAAACTGTAGATTTATTGGTAAAACATTTACTTGATGATCAACAAAGAAATCAACTTTCTTCAGTTCTTCCTCAATTCTCTCATCTTTTCGACAATTCACGCCACAATATTTCCAACATAGTTATAGAAAACGTCTTCAATAGTATTCTACATTCACCATCTGCTTTCCGACCTCATCGTAATCCACATAATCGACAAGAAACACAACGTCTTATTGATGAATTTCTCGGAGCTGGTATCATTCAGGAGTCCAATTCTTCATATGCAGCTCTTGGATTCATTGTTCCTCGCAAGGATAATCGTCCTGGTCGACTCGTTGTCGACTATAGAGCTCTCAACAAAATTACCATTCCTGATGCTAGTCCACTTCCGCACGCTGAAGATTTACTACAAGAGCTTGGGAAGGGCTACAAGTATTCCAGCAAAATTGATCTAAAATTAGGGTATCACCAATTTCGTATACCTCCAGCCGATCGTCCAAAGATAGCATTCGTGATCTCTCAAGGTCACTATGAATTTCTAGTACTCTCAATTGGACCGCAAAACGCTCCTGCCGGATTTCAAAAACCTATGTACAAGGTTATGAAATCATGTCGCAATTTTTGTCACGTCTTTCTCGATGATATCATTCTTTGTTCAAAAAAATTTGATGAACATATAGATCATCTGTGGTTGACTTTTCACACTCTTGCGCAGGAAAAACTCGTCCTCAATGCATCTAAATGTGAACTAGCTGTTGAAAAAGTTATTGTACTCGGTCATATAGTCTCTGAAACGTCTATTACGCCAACAAATGAGGCTATACAAGCGATTTTTGATCTGCAGGGACCACATACACTTAAATAAGCAAACAAATTCCTAGGCGGTCTTGCGTACTATCGTAAATTTGTTCCCAACTTTGCCCATATCGCTGCGCCAATTCACAAAGTCACCAATTTAACCAAAGACAAACGGCATCTATTCGAATGGACCGATGAATAATCGAAAACATTTCATACTCTTAAACAATTACTCACCACTGCTCTTCTTTTTCTTCGTTTTCCCACCAATGGATTTCCTCTCCGTCTATCTACCGATAGGGTGTGGGTGTGGGTGTGGGGTGCGGATGTGGGTGTGGGTGGGTGTGGGTGTGGGTGTGGGTGGGTGTGGGTGTGGGCGTGGGTGTGGGTGTGGGTGTGGGTGTGGGTGTGGGTGTGGGTGTGGGTGTGGGTGTATGGGTGGGTGTGGAAGTGGGGTGTGGGTGTGGTTGGTAATTGGAAAAGACCAAAATCCATACCGGCACCCACCCACACCCACACCCACACCCAGCCACCCCACACCCACATCCACACCCTTGTATAGATAGGTTTGACTAATTTGTATAGATAGCTAGCTTAGACAAAGCCAGATTGATTATTATAAGAATTCGACTATACTTCTTACACTTTTTTATAAGTGTAAGTAACTATCATCAGACTTTGTCATAGATTGTCGAGAAAGAAGTCATAGCTACATAACTTCTTTGTTTATACTACGTACTATGCATATTGGACAACGCCTTAAGATAAAAACTAACTCGTTTGCAATATCAGACATAATATTCCACTGATATCTTTTAAATATGCATGCATTTGAAATATAATGAACAATATATCTGTATGTTGGTTTAAGGTAGAGGAAAAACTCTCTGAAGAAGTACAAGATATAATACAAAATTAACAACTATACCATAGAGAATATAGGTAAAGTGCAACATTATTTACCGAAACTATTATTACCTCATTTTGTCTGTATTAGATCATGTAAAACAATATAATTAAATCTATAAACAATAAATTTATCTTCTTGCCTACCAATTAGCGTAGTGGTATCCACAGATAAGTAGAATTATATATTATATACATTCAAAATTCTTTACTATAGAACAATCAAAAGGTAAGTTATAAAATGATAAAATTAGCCTTATAGAAAACTTTTTTATTAAAAAAAAATATATATAAATAAAATAAAAAAATATAGTCTAAGTAAATTAATAGAATGATAAAATTAGCCTTATCGAAAACTTTTTTATTAAAAATATATATATATATATAAATAAATAAAATATATAGTCTTAGTAAATTAATAGAGTGATAAAATTAGCCTTATCGAAAACTTTTTTATTAAAAATATATATATAAATTAAAAAAAATGTATAGTCTTAGTAAATTAATAGAGTGATAAAATCAAACTTATAAAAAAACCTTTATATTAAAAATATATACTTAAAAATTTTAAAAAAACTATAATTTAAAGTAAAGTAATAGATTAGCCGCCATGGTTAACTGGTCACCTTGTTCGACACATATCCAAAAGGTAGTGTATTTAAATCTCAGTATTACCAGTCATGGAGTGAATCTGGACAAGTGACTAACATCTAGCTGTCTCGGGTGACTCATTCGATAGCGCGTTCGTTACCTCGTTAGTCAGTATGCAGAGTAAAAACTTCAATATAGACGTCATTACAATGTGTTTTCTGTGTTGACTGCGAATCTAAAAATCAAATATGGAGGAGTGTTAGACGAAATGGATGCAAATACCACCTTTTGTGAAAAGAAAAAGGCAAAATTATCCGATTGCATGTGAGTCTTAATAGTGGGTGGCCCTGACGGTTGATAAGTCTATAAGAATTCTTATATTACTAACGGATGGGGCAAAAGTTTTGCATTAATTTTGTTTTTGATATAACTCTGCAACGTAATGCCGTGGAGACTTGATTTTTTTTTGTTAGAAAGAGCAAAGTGTCTAGTGCAAGAATATATAAAAGAGTTTGATTGGAAATGTTTTTCGAAAACTACAACAATCTTAGAACAGAAGGCGTTGGAAAACTCTTCCGCAACTTTTTTGAACTTAGAAAAAAATTCCTATAATTAGAAAGGTTATCTTTTTATTCGTCTAATCCGGATTTTATAATATAAGGATAGAGCACTATTGCGTTACAAAAAAAGAAATTTTCTACATGTTTTATAACGGTCGAAATGAACGCTTTTATGATATCGTCTGTGTCATCAATTCTTTATCATTGTTGGTAGCAATCGAAAAAATAAACTCTATTTCGCAGGAGAGATTGTTAGAAGCTATATATTTTATATGAAAAAGAAAGTTTATTGAGTCCTCTACCAAACGATATTATTTGGAATAGGACGCAACTTCTCAATGAGATATTCAGAAAAAAACTTATTTTCACGCTGCAAAACCAAATTCGAACAATTAATTTGTTTTTATCAAAGTGTCTTTTGTTCATTCTCTTGTACGTTATACCAATTATTTTAATACCAAATGAAAACCTCCGTTGTAATGAGCAACTGTATATATATGGTGCTCGAAAGTGTCGAAAGTGGCTAATGAAAAGGCTCAAACAAATATTTTTGGATTAAAAAAATGTGATCGAAGTTGCGGAAGAGTTTTTCGGAGCCTTGTGTTCTAAAACTATTATAGCCTTCGAAAAACATTACAAATCAAATTCTTTTATATATTTTTGCACTAGACACTTTGCTCTTTCGAACAAAAAAAAATCAAGTCTGTACGATATTGCGTTGCAGAGTTATATCAAAAACAAAATTAATGCAAAAATTTTGCCCCACCCGTTATGATTATTATTATAAAGTAATAGAATGATAAAATTAAAGTTATAGAAAACTGTTACAATAAAAATGAATTTAAAAATGAAACGAATAAGACAGTATAAGGATTATTTTTTGAACTATTTCTACCTTTCGTCAGTTCACAGTCTGCTAAGTATAGTATGTGATAAGGTATCTCGAGTTTCATCTATTGAAAACCATTGCAGCATGATTTTTGTTTATCGATCATAGTTCATCTTGAATATCTTTTACGGTATGATGAGAGCAGCTCAGTATATTCCTTTAAGCATTTATATATATTGACTACCTTGATGATTAAATGTGTCTGGAAATTGGTATTTAGAGATATTAATCGACATAGCTTCAGTGTTTTGAGGGAGACAGAATAAGGTTTTTATCTGGGTCAAATAATTCAACGGAAACTGTGACGCACTAATTAAAAAAAGATGCGATCTACGATATTTTTCTTAAAGAGATAAAAAATGAAAATCTATATAAGAGGTTAAGTTAAAGTTCATCTTTAAAAATAATGTGGATTGGAGAGATATTTTATTTCAAACTGTATAAATGAAAGCATAGATTAACTTTAATAAAAATAAATTTGAATTTTTAATGTATGAAAATGTCTAAATGTAATTTGTTTTTATGTTTCATGCTCTTTTTATTTGTTCTCTTCTTCTATATTGTTCATGTAAAATGAAGAAATATTGATGAAGATCTGTTGTTGTCATCTAATACTTATATATTTTGCTTGTGTATTTGGTATTTATTCTTTTTACTCTTCTATCATATGTAATGT